CTCAGGACTTCCAGTTTTCTAAAAAAAGGAGGGAAAGACAAAAAAGTAAGACATCAATAACAGGGGTTTCAATAAAAGCTAGTTATCAGCATTCTACTGCAGTCTGTTTAGCCTGTGAGCAGTGTCATGGATACCCATAAAATCTAACCGATTGCTCTTCTTTTCCTATTAGCTGTTCATTGATGATCATTTACTAAGTATATTTACAAACCATGAGCTTCAAAATTTTCTGAGAGTTACAAAATAGATAAGAGGCTGGGAAGGTATTCAAAGTGCAATTCCACCTACAATATCTAAGCATTAAAAACAAATTTTTTTAAACGGATAAGCAAACTTTTGTTCATGAACCGTTTAAACGGATATAAACGGATAGTAAAAAAAAAAATTTGTGGTCAATAAAAATTATTATGATTGGCACTCCTTTCAAAGCCAAGAATGCTAGAAATTAAATGCCCCCATATTCCCCTTGGATAATGAATGATGAATGAATGAGGGTGATGCAATAACCTATTAGTTTCCTAACGTACAGCCCTCAAAAATAAATTTAAATATATATACAAGAGAAATGATATCTAAAGTAGAATAAACTATAACACGCAATAAAATTCTAAAATCTAAATTGACTAAAAACTTAAAAACACATAATTGTAATATATAAATTGATAAAAGAGAGTGAAATATGTACAAAATACTCAACAGGGGTTGTGGTTGGCATTATGAAGAACATTAACAATGAATACAATAGTGGCAAATTGAACACAGTAGATTCTCTAAATGCTCAGAAGAGGATAGGTGTGAGAGAAATAGATTTCGTAATTTAGATTTCAGAGAAGAGGGAAGAAATTTGAATGTCAACAGAGAGGAAGAAGTAGAGAACTCTTTTAGATCAGAACTGAGTTCATTGATGAGTTTAGTAGTACTATAGGCAAGTGTGCATTTCCCAGAGTTACCATGTGGGTATAGCACCTTTTAAGTCATAGAGAGAGGCTCTTGTATAACAGCCCAAAGGTCCATGCAAATCAGAAAGAAACTGAAATCTGTTCCTGAGGCAATTAGAAGCATTCGTATTAAGGAGAATGCTGAAAAGAAGAAAAAGTTTCCTTATTTAATGAGATCAAAAACGGGGATCCACTTCAGTTTCAGAAATAAAGAAAGAGAAGCCGAAGAGAAGTCGGCATCAAGGACTATACACCCAGCATGCTTCTAAAGACACAGGAGTCATAAGAAGAGATGGTGGAAGCAGTTTTCCCACACAGCAGAACAATAAATAAAGTAGTTGTTAACACAAGAGTTATAGAATCTTAAAGCAGAACCAAAGTTGAGATAAGATTTGATACCACGGAGAAGAGAAAGCCTACTGCTAACCATGCAGCAGATTGTATTGATATGGTGCTCCCAAGCCATGCTACCATCTATCATTACACCAAGCAACTTGGCATGGTCCCCTTGCTCAATATATCTACCACCTACCTGGACATTGAGCACTGAGCTGGTTGGAGTACTGCATTTCTACAGAGTCGTAAGGAGTACAGATTTAGTTTTGGAAGTGTTGAATGACAATTATTGTCAGCCCAGGTAGATACCGTTCTAGCAACTTCATTCAACTGAGTGTTAACGGAAGTAATAGAAGGCCCTCAAGGAAAAGATATTGGCAAAGTGCTCATTATAAAGGTAGGCAATATCATAATAATCATGATAGTTCTTATCATCAATGGTTGATGATTTGGTAATTTGGAACATTTGGAGGGTGCAAGACTACAAATAATGCACCAAAGATTTTTACGATTTTCAAGGTTGTTGTTGAGTTTCAGTAAAAAGAGCACTTGGCATTACGAATAAGATGGACCTCTCTATTGCATGCAGAACAGTAGTCACGCCAATTTAGAGCATTATTTGTCAAGGTTTCTTTTTGATGCAGATGGTTCCACATAGCAATTGCAGCTCAAATTTCATTGTTGAACTATTCAGGTATGAACTCCCTTTTGACATGCAAGGAGCAATATCGTCATTTAACCTTGAGCTCAATTAATTACAAATGTACCTTATTATAATACTGAAGCCTTGTCAGATATTAGGATATCTCAATTAATGGAAAATGCCCATTACATCCTCCAAGGTTCAAACAGACAACCAGACTGATTCTGTGTTGTTTTGTCTTCTTTCAATAATTATTCAAGCTCTTTGATGTGAGGGCTATTCCACACAAAAGTCACCTTTGGTGAACTCTTTTAAAATTCTTCTTCCAGTTAGGTAATCATACCAATGAATGGGTACATTATACATAGTAACAATATCACAGCCACTGTAAAACTGAAACCAATTTCTTGTAATTCGTCATGCAAATACATGTATATTTAAACAATTTGCAGTACGTAACTTTCGAAATGAAGAGACCACACATGCTTACATCAATGGTTCACCATTTCAGTTTCCACATTCTGTATTTGTCTTGGTTGTATCTCAAAAGGAACGCAAAACATTTTCTCTTTACTGTTCGAATATCTTCAATTGAAAGCTTATGAATGTATCGTTGGCTAAATCTAGATTACTGGTGGATGATCGGCACAAAAAAGAGTTTTGCATTTTCTTACGTTCATAAAAACACGCTCTGTCTAAAGGAAGAAAATCGACATAAATCTTTAAAAACCACTGCATAGTAAGGCTAACAGATCAAACGTTCCTTAGTTAGTTTACATTCGTGTTGTTCATGAGGGTCGCACCTTCCATCGGATTATATTTAAATTTCGCACAATCATAGATTTCCAGGAACTCTGAAATCCATCGCCAAGTATCGCAAAGAAAGTAAATTATATAAATCACTTCTTAGTGAGATAAAATCTGGAAATATTTTCCTCTTAAAACTTACCAAGCTTGGTGGATTTTCAACAAGCTTTACCATTTCATATACGGCCTTCAGCTGTGCTTCGCGAAGATTCCAATTTCGACGGACGGTCAATTCCACCGCTTCGGTAGGGCTTTCTCCTCCCCCTAAAAACTTGAACAAGTCAAGAATTTTCCTTTTCTTCTTCTTATCCAGTGATTCTCCAGTTTTGAAGTATTCTATAACGCTTATATCGACCGATTCTTCGCCCATCTTAGGACATCTATCTATTCATCAGTTTAAACTTAATCGTTCCTTTACCAATGTCGAGTCATGGAGGCAGCCTGGGGATGATTATCACATTTTGGCCTCGTTTCCAAGTGCGCAAGCGAACTCGCCATTTATGTTGAACAAGCGGGAAAGTTAAGTATCGAGACCTGGTGGTTCCTCTGTGAAAAGTAAGTTTAATTACTGTAATTAATATTCGGTAGTTACCCAAGCGATTTATGTTCTCAGAAAGTGGTTAATAGTTTCTACATCATCTTCATCGAAAAAGAGGGAAAGAGAAGAGGTAAATTGGGTGGAAATATTTTCCTCTGACGATGAATTTCAAGGAAACTCAACTTCCAGAAGCGCGCGAACCTGATAATTCTAAGGAAATTTGTGTTTGGAGGTCCTTTTTCGTTCAAAAGGATGCCAAAGACTACAAAATACGAAAATTGAGATAGTTGTGTTTTTAGATGGGTCTCAAGTTATAAGTCGGGCACTGAAACAAGTTTTCTATAAATGTCACGTTTCCTCTTCAGCGATGCATTAATTATTTTGAGCTGTGTTTTTGTGTTGTCTCTGTCATGTTCTTTTATCCTTTCTCACATTGATCCCCCAGTTTCACCGTTGTACACTTTGCCGCATTGACATAGGATCTTGTAAACAACACCGTCTTGTTTCGATGGTTCCAGGGGTTCTAAGTGAGATCTAAGTGTTGTGTTCAACTTGAAAATTGGTTCATATGCCTTGATGTTGTTAGGCAGCAGCAAAGAACCTCAGATACACCCTTTACGTTAGGGAGAATGTAGGATATAGACACGTGTACATTTATACTGAAAATATTCATGAGGTTTCATCAGCATACCAGGCACACACAAAGTTTATGTACCACCTACATATGAAGCCATATAGGGATAGGAAGTTTAAAAATGGTTACTGCCATCCCATCCAAAGAGTATAAGTAATACCCTTTTATTGCTTCATGGTCCTCAAACCAGAATAAAATATGTTGTCAGAATATTGGCCTCTTAACCCTTAAACTCCCAAGATTTGGTTGTTAATTCTCCCATCTAGCTGTTACACATTTCCTTGTAATTTAGTTACCAGAATTTGGTGTTATATCATGATAACCTCTAACTGATGAGTTTGAGTAATCTCAGTATGTGTTTGATGGATATTGTTGGGAGAAGTTACATATAAATCACTTCTGGGAGTTGAAGGGTTAATTGCAGATTGGGAGAAAAATGATCAACTGCTGAACAGATTGTTTATTCATAAAGCAGCTGGACCTGATGGTCCATATCCTCTGATTTTGAAAATTCTTTTAGAGAATGATAATGACATGTATGTCAATCACAATACACCTATTTTAGTGGCAGTCTCAATTCTTCCTGTGTCCCCTAAAAGTGATTCAGTGAGAACAGAGTTTTTCTCTTTCACTTTTTCGGTCGAGAAAATTTTCTCACAAACTTAGTCGCATAATATAAACATGGCAAAGTAATTTTAAACAAGATAAATTTGGTTTTTTAAACTTAGTTGATATTGTACTGTAAATTGGCAACTGTAAAGAGGTTTAAAGCTTTGATACTTTTCAGGGTGGTCAGTTTGCACTATCGATTCAGTTGATAAAACCAAAATTATCTAGTTATACTCCCCACTGACACAGCACCACAGTTTCTTTAGAAACTTACCCCTTTATTAATTTTAAACAAATTACTGGGGAACTATTGTTATCCTTATCAAAATGACACTTAAAAACTGTGCATGTTTACACTGTAAGATTTCACTTGCTTCTGTGAAAACTCAGAATTCACTTTAGGAATGGAGTTGCAGCAACACATATTTACTTACTGTATTTTAAATATTTTTTCAGCTTGCTGATATTGACTTTTGTTAATTTTCATAGGTTTTCAAAATGTATCCTCCAGTGAGATCTTGTGGAGAGAAAGATCTGCAAGATAATGGAAGACGTGATTTAGATGAGGAAATTTGTTCTCGCCTAGATGATTACTATCCAGACTGGAAAGATCCCAAAGGCACTCACATGGTCCCTCGCTCTTTCATATCTAAGGCAAAAAACTCAGATTTAGGGGAAATTACAGAAAAAAATTTCTTTGACATTTTGAAAGAATTTGGTGAAATTAAGAAGGAACCCATGTTTGTTATTCATTCCTATAAATTTAGTGAGTACATTCCCATGTGGCAGTCTGGTAAGATATCAAGTACTAAGATGTCAAATTGGGTAATGGGTGAACATGACTTTGTTATAGTACATCATGTCCATGGGGTTGTGTTTTTCCAAGTAAAAGCAACAAAAACTTCAGGTGGACATCATAAAGCTGACAGTCAGATTCAAAAAGACAAAGTATCCTTGGAAAGATTTTTCCAAAAAATGATAAAAGCTGGGATAATGTCCAATAAGCAAGTGGGCAAAATATTCGACAAATTCCCAGCATTTGTGGTATTGCCAAATACTCAGCGAGGTCAGTCACTTAGTGCAAAGGACCATGTACTTTATCAAGAGGACTGTACCAATGCACAAACATTTTCTGAATGGTGGTACGGCAAGTTCCCAGAAAGTGAAAAACATCCAAAAATTGATCAAACCATCTATGAGTATCTGGTAATGAGGTGAGTGCTGTATTTTAACCAACCTGTTACATCTTTTAGCCAAATGGAAATAGCATGCCAATGTCTCACACTTTCCCTATAAAAGTGTACATTTTCTTAAAGCTTGATAAAATAATGTTAATGTTGTTTTTGGATGTTAACTTACTTTAACAGTTTTGGCAGAGCTTATTTTTTCATGCGAGACATTTTACAACTAAAGACAGTTTTATTTGACAACACTTTAAATCAAAACCTAATATAGTTTTTCATAGGAACTTGATCTGCACGTTTTGAACTAAAAAACTGTGTTTAGGATTTTCTTGTTTCTTCTTGTTTTTTGGGGAATAGAGCATCTACACCTTGCTCAAGAATGCTAGTCTGAAGATAAAATATGACAACGGGTAAAATATAGAAGGCGCATTTTTTCACAAGCATTTGGTGTTATCTTGTGCTGCATGATTGTCTCAAAACACCAGTTATCACCAGTTATCAGATATGGTTTGATTGTAAATTACATGTTGCTCGCTTTCTATTACTCTCAATGACAAAAAAATGGAGCACAGAGGCTAGACAATGTTGATTTCTTGACATGCACTGGGGTTTCATACCTTTCCATTCATTAGTCTTAAAGACATTGCAAAACAATTGCTTCTTATTTGAAAGAATTAAAAAAAAAACAAAAATGGTGTTTATATTTTTTTAAAATATGTTCTTTTGTTTCCAAGATATCCAAGTTTTTGTTTCATGCTAATGTGGAATGTCATGACATCATAAATTTTGATTAAAAAAGATTAATCAAAAAATAACTTTAGAAATGTAAATGACATATTTTGCAAACTTTGCTCAAATACAGGTATTTGGGAGAGCATAGTAATTGTTAGTACTTATGCACATTAAATTTGAATTCTTTTTATGTGTGGACTCTGATTAATATTGAGGATTGTGTGATAGACATTTATGATTATAACCATACCATACATTGATACAAGCATGAGCCACTGGTTATAAAAAACAAATTGCACATTAAGTGCCTGACCATGCATGTTAACATGGACATAATGTCATTTTGTACATTTTTTCAATTAGATTTGTTGGCATGGTCCATGTCAGTCCACTCCTTGACAATTGCATTAACCACATTGAAAAGACTTTGATGTTCAAAACAGTAGAACAAGTGGAGTTGCTGGTTGGTCATTATCCTCCCAAACTGTGGATTAGGGGTCCAGCTGGAAGTGGCAAGACAATGCTATTGCTGGAGAAGGCAAAATCTTTGGCAAGTTCCATTCTAGAGCATAAAAAAAATGAGAATATTCTTATTGTATGCTTCAATGCTGTGTTATGCAAGAAGTTACAGTCAGTGCTTGAAACCCAACTAGTAAAGTCTCCTGATAAAAGTGTGATAAGGAACTTCTTAGATGTTAAAACATTTTCTAAACTTATCATTGATGTTACTGGCTCACGCCAAATTCCATTAAGTAACAATGAGAAAGAGGCGGCTGTTAGCTCTGCCTTCGAGCGGCTCTCAACCCAGACATCAGATTTCCGTGGAAAGTATGACCACATTTTGGTAGATGAAGGTCAAGACTTGTTTGGAAGTAAGTGGCCAGATCTTCTTGAACTGATGCACAAGAGCTCTGTGACACCTAATGTCAATGAAGAGGCTGAGCTAGAAGACTTGATGAAGCCTACTGGGTTTTTCTGGGTCATGTATGACACAAATCAATACCTATACTTCTCTAAAGAGCTGCTGAAATTGTTCTCAGGATATCTCCAAAACAGTGCAGAGCTCAAGAAAGTGCTTCGCAACACAGGAAATATTTTCAAGCAGTCAGAGAAGTACTTTAAATCATTGATGACATCTGAAAATGGCATTACACTTGGTCATCAAGAATATGGCTTACCAATCAAATGGGATACTTCTCTGGAAAGCAAAGTGATCTCAGACGACAAAGGTGCCAGCACAATCATTCCTCATTTGAAAGATCTACGTAGAGAACATGTTCAAGAAAGGGACATTTGTATTCTTGTTGAAACAGCAGCCAAAAGAAAATCTTTCAGACAGGCACTTTCAAAAAATAGCGTTGAAACCCAAACTGCAGACAACTTAGTTGAGAAGAATGACAACAAGATTGTGGTGGAAAGCATTAGGTGCTTCAAGGGCCTTGAATCTAAAGTGGTTATCTTGTATAATCCTCCATACGAAGATGATTCAGAAAGAAATGGATGTGCTAAAGAGTTGCTATACACTGCAGTATCCAGGTGTTGTTGTTATCTCATTGTCATAACTACAAAGGCTGGTGGTGAGGCTTTAATTTCAGCTCAAGGGGTTCAAGAGACGACTGACAATAGAGCACAACAGGTTCCACAACAATTTCCAACCTCGTCACATTTGGACTCAAACAGGGAGCCATTCCAATCCCCAATGGACATTGATACAGAGTGACTCACTAATTGTGATCAATCTACATATAAGTTGTCACACTTCCTTTCTAGTGAGGAGGTTATTTAAGGTGATCAACTGGTGCAAATTTTCCTTTTTATGTTAAAAGATAACTTGAAGTTGTAAAATGTACCCACTACTTCTGGCTATATGATTGCCAGTATAGAATAATAACCAATGTGTACTACAAACTTGACAACCGTTTGCCGACAGTCGTACTGAAATGATCAGAGTATTTACTGCTTACCTGTTGCCCGGATTTATATATGCTGTATTCAAGGAAATTTAAGAAAACTCGCCATAGAAGTAAATGAACCGAAAATTATTATTGAACTGTTAAGTTAGGATTAGATTTCTCGGTTACCCAATGGAGTTTAAAGCATTTGTAATTAGGCTTGTTTTAAGAACCCCATAGGTTCGCTTACATCCATTCTTAGCTCTCATGGGCATTTATTTCGCTTTTGTAGTTCCTTCTATTAATTATGAGATTGCATTTAGTGAATAGAATCTTTGAACGTATTTATTTGATTTCAGATCGAATAAAATTGCTATAATACGATTGCGAGTTATTCTTCGGTTTGGATTCTTCGTTTTCTATCGGAACATTTGAACTTTTTTGTGAGTTGTCAGTACTCAGATGGCCCCTCGAATGACCTGTTGGTGTCAAATGTACCCGCTTTTCTAAGTTTCTCAGTGAAACTGAGTTTCCATCGCTGGCTATACTAGCATCCACTTGATATTTCGAATCTAACAATCCAGTACTTGTTCAATAAGTAATTGTTTTAAGGTTCCTAAAAAATTGGTTTTAAAACAATTTGTTGGCAAGGAATGACAGTGCACCAAAACTCTTAAATAAAGGGGTAAGTTTCTAAAGAAACTGGTGCTGCGTCGGTGGGAGAGTATTGCATGTAATTTAGTGTTAACAACTGAGTTGAAAGCGTAAATTAGCCACTACCCTTTACGGTGGCTAATTTACGTTTCAACTTAGTTGTTAACACTAAATTACCCACCAAAACTCTTAACCTACTTCCTAACTCATATTAATAGAAAGGTGCGGTTACTGTACTTAGTAATTGTTCCACCACAATGGTCTCGCACAAAACAAACTTAGACACCCTTTGAAAAACGTTCTCTGGTCCCCTGATAAAGGATCGTATTTTTTCGGAACCTATCTGACGAAGTGACGCGAAGAGAACAGTCGCTGCGGCCTGTGTCGTAGCAATGTCACCCGCTACCTAAAGATTTGTGCGCGCTGAAAGTGTTACGTAGCATTTCGCGTAACTGAGTTGCGTGTTTATGACGCAAAGTCGCAAGGACTTTTAGCAGAAATTTTCACAACCTGAGTAGCGAGGGTTTTTTCATGTTAAGAGATGGGTGTTTCTCTTTCACGTTCATCGGGACGAACAGCTGAAGCAAAGTATATTCATTCCATTGACACCAAGGAGTCAAATGGCGAAAATGATGAATTCTTGAACCAACGCACGAAAGGAAAAACAAGCAAGGGTAGAAAAAGCACATCAAAACGGACCGAAACAGCATTTTTCCAATTCAAAGCAACGAAAAGCAATCCATGGGATATATTTGATAGCCTTGATACCATAGTCTCCAGGAAATCTGTCCCGTTTGCTGCCCTTCCAGATGATAGCCCTCAAGCTTTGGCGGGCTCGGTGGTTGGTGACGAGGATATCACAGGTAATCAGTCCAAGGATGGAGCTGTCACACATAGCACAATTGGTGATACGTTCCTTGAAGATTTCGATGACAGGAATTCAACAAAGGAGTGCGCGGAAAAAATGACGGGGGCGAAAAACGGAGAAATCATAGCGCAAAGGGTGACACCACCCTTAAAGAATGACGAGACCCGCCGCAACCCTCAAAAGCTAAAAAGTACTGCGCATATCCTAGTGCCTCTATCTCGTAGAAACTGTGCGGATGGAGGAGGAACTAAGTGGGAAAGCGTGCCAGACCAGACCACGGAACAACCCCATAGCGAAAATGAAATGGTTTACCCCAATAATGATTTCAGGGAAACTAAACGGCAAAGTGTACCAGATTTAACAATGATACGGACCGGTATCGAGACCGGAACAGTTTGCCATAGTGACAATTATCATGCTTAACCTTCATAGTTTTACTCCTGCAAAATGTCCTTGATCTTTCTTGAATTAAAGAACGTAAATTAGAAAATGCTTAAAGCTGATGCATTTAAGTGATGATGTAAAAACATGTTGAATTATAGGAAATTTGGTTGCCTGCCCACTATTAGTTTTTGTCTTCTTAAATCCTCAACCCGGTCCCTCCTTCATTGTTACTCCATAGGAAGCTCTCAGTCGTGTACTCAAGTTTCCTCTATCAAATTCTCAGGGGCTCGGCTTCAAATCTGAACACATTTTTCTTCCTTAGCCGTTTCCAGCGCTTCCTTCCCAGCCTATAAAGCAAAGAGACACGGTGGTAAAATAACACTGATCTTATTGCACAACACCCAATTCTGGCATGATAAGTGAAAGCCCTGTAATCGAATCAAGCCATTTCAACTTTCTGTTTTTTCTCAAGTCTACAGAGTACACGTTTTCTACGTCCCAATATGTTAACCCTCCACTTATCTTCCCGTAGAGACCGGCTACCGAAGCACGCGAAGAAGGGGGTAGTCCGTAAACGCCTCAGGTTGCCCTTATCGTTACTCACGTACTAAGCTGCCTCTCAAGTACTTTTATAGGGAGTCTCAGCTTCTTCACTTTTAAAATACAATTCAACCTCCACACTGCTGAAAATGGTAATACAAGAAGTAGGGTTGATACAAGTACCCAACCGAAAGAGATGGTTGCTTCAGAGGCTTTATTGTTTCCTTGAAAATATTTTACTTAAATTTCAGCTCTGCATTGGACATAGGTGTTCTGAAAATGTACTACAGTACAGTCATACAGGCAAGAGGGAATCTTCTCATAACCCTACTTCTTGTATGTACAGGTCCTAATGACCCTTCAGTAGTCAGAAACAATATATTAAATACTTCGAGGTGAAATTCAAGTACGCAATCTCAAGGTTTATATTTTTATTCATTATTGTGCTATGTATAACAATAACAACACACCAATCGTTTGAATTGATGATATTAAATTTCTTTATTCCAGGTTTTAAGAATTCAAATGGACAGATACAAAGTGTCCTAGTTTCTTTACAGTTTAAAACCCTTGTCCAAAACTGTCTTCAGCTATCTTAGGATAAAACCCATTTACCAAAAATTATATTGGTCAACAAATTGATTTATTGATAATCATTAAAATAAAATGCACAGAGGGGAAGGGACAACTTTCACACCACCATAGTTGTAAAGAGATCTATTGCAGATAATCTACACCACAACAGATTTTTATCTCTAAATACATGTAACTTCTTAAAGTGGCAGCAGATGAGAAAGATATGTAGAACACGGTAACCAACAAAAAACTAAAGATCATTCATCACAAATGCTGCAAACTTTTCAAGGTCATATATGTGCAAGGGATTAAACAGTGATTGTTGAACCTATTCTTGGGCTGTGCTTCACCAGCACTAGGGTGTCACAGGCAACTAACTACTGTTTTGGAAACCCCATATTTCTAAGGGGGCACCTGGTTATTCCACTGAAGGGAAGATCCAGGTGGTGGTTTCGCGGTGTAAATTGAAAATGTGCTCTGTTTCAGCTGTCATGGTACATTTCAGAACTACCTCTGGGAGCTGAGAGGACAGTAATTCCCTTGGTTAACAAGCAGAAAATTCTTCACTGGCTATGTGTTATTACATGAACACAATAACTTCTGTGTATTTTATAATTTTCCTCATTCTCATCATCTGAACTTTAACAATGTATTACAAATTGAAGATAATTAAATACTGTTCACTCTATAGAATCAAAATGTTAACCTACATGAAGATAATGCAAGATATTATCAGTAGTAACAACAGCCATGTTGACCCTGATAACTCATACTAAAGCAAGAAAATGGTTGGACAGAGAAAAAGTTCCCCCAAATGAGTGACCCCTAAGTGAAGTATGGCTTAAACCCTTTGAGAACCAGAATTAATCAGTATCTGAGTACTTTTTATATCAGCTAGAGGGAAGTAAATGGATGAAAGGATGGTATAACACCTTTGGAAGGGAGCATAACTGATCGAGTTTTCAACATTGATTACTTCAAGTTTGTCTACTGAGCTACTGTCATGGCAATTAAGCTCTCGTTGGAATAATGAGACTTTTGATTGAATTCAGCAAAGCAGCCTGCTTGCAACAAAAATATACATGTACTTTACACATTATGACTGCTGACCAAAGCAAGTTAATTACTAACCACAAAATATAGCAATAACACTTTTTCTATTTACTGTACTTGTAATAATTTTATAACCTTGACTACAGCTGCTAAAAGAATTCATTCACAGCCTCACTGACCCAAATTAAAAGTTCAACTATACAAATATCTCTTTTTTTTTCTACTGAGCTCCATAGACACTCTCGTCACTGTATGCTATGTAGAGGAAGAAGTCTTCTTCATGATGTTCTTGGTAAAGCTGACCCATCGTTGCACTTGTGGGGGGGATGACATTGTTCACAAAAAAGAACAAGGCATCTTCAGGTCTGAGATGAATTCGCTTCCGAATAAGGAAGTAAAACTGTCCAACTATGGAAGATAAAAGTAAAAACACCAATATTAATTTTCACATGACCACTTTTCCTGTCACAGAATTGCATGACTTTCTACGACTAATGATCAGTATTAGTTTATTTGTAATGGGTAAAGAGACATCTGATCAAGGTGTCTCTTGTTTTGTTGTTCTGACAAAATTTTCAATTATTTCCTTTGGTTTTCCTGGCAATAACTGTTTTCCAAGACTTCTTCTAACTAGAACTAAGTACATGCCTTCGTAACCAATAGAAGATGGGTAGGAATGCTGAATAACAAGGCTATGGGACCTTCATTTGCTTTGTCAATGAGTTTCACCCACGCCGAAATGTAGCTTGTAATGCAGGAAACTTGCATAAATTTGTGTGATTAGATTTCAGAACAGCAACCTAAAAGAGTAAAACCATCATGGTTTCCCATACTACCATCTCATGTCATGTTAGAAACTAATCATGACTAAGACTAAGAGCTGATGGGGGAAGTCATCATAAAAAAAATGTATCCTTAGTGGGAACCACATTCAATAAACAATCACATACTTAATCCTATTTGAACTTAATATTTTGACAAACCTGTCAAATCTGAGGGAACCAGGTATTTCTTCTTATCCAAGTCTCCTATCCTTGCTTTTGGTGCTTTCTCAACAATAACCTTATGAAAGAGAAGAACAAAACAATAAATGCAATGCAAAATAACAAAATCCAGACTGACAGGTGGTCACTTTATAATTTTTGTCCACTCCATTGAGGGTCCACTTTACATAGTTTCACTTTTTTAAGTTAATATAATGGATAATTTCACACAACTACCAGTTGCTTCTACATCTCCCCTTCATTTCAACTTGAAACTCT